CCTGGGTCCTGCGGCCCGGCCGGCCGCCCGCGCCGCTGCGAGCCGTCCATGGTGCAGCGCATGTGGGCCGAGGCAGCCGGGCCTGCGGGCGGCGCCGAGCCGCTGTTTCCGGGCTCCCGGCGGAGCCGCAGCGTGTGGGACGCGGTGCGCCTGGAGGTGGGCGGCCCCGACAGCTGCTCGGTGGTGCTGCACAGCTTCACGCAGCTCGACCCTGACCTGCCGCGCCTGGAGGTGGGTGAGCCAGCTGGGCCCAGCGAGGAGTGGGTGGGGGCCCAGCGTCCTTAGCGGGTCACACCACCCAACCAGCCTGGGGGGGCCTTGCAGGGGGAAGATCCTTCCGCAGAAATCCCCCTCCTTGCGCCAACCCCAAGGCAGCCAGGTGGGCGTGGGGGCTGCCGCACGGTTGATCCAGGGACCAGAACCGGCTCTTCGTGCCCACCTCTGTCGGTCCCAGTACCAGCCCTCGCCGAGCCCAGGTGTGCCGGCCCCGCGCCCCTGCAGCCCAGGTAGACCTATTCCAGTTGGCAGTCACTGAGTCTGAATTTCCCGACAGCAGGGTTGGGCCGTATTTCACTCACGTAGCCAGCCCGGGGCCTGCATAGGCAGGCAGTTTGGCTAGGAAGTACAGGTGGTGAACTCCTAGAATCCTCAGAGGTTGTTGGGACCACAGTAGCCTTCTAGACAGCCCGCCATGGTGTCAGAAGTGGACACTGATGTTGAGGGCTGGGGAGGCGGGGCTTCAGCTTCTGGGGCCAGGTGTCCTGGCTGGGAGGTTGGGACAACGGCCTCTCAGGCTCCGGGGTGACTCACTTCTGCTTGATTAGACAATGCACCGACACCCTGAATTTGGAAGGATTCAGAATGCGGTGTGTGCCTATCACGGATGGGGTCGGGGTAACTAGGTGGGGGTGGACTCCTCTTTCTAGTGCTCTGGGTGGGGGCAGGAGAGGGTACTGTGGGTCATGGGGGAGGGAGTGCCCCCTCCCTCCCATCCGACTGTCCACCTGACTCTGACTCCCTGCGGCCAAGGTAGCAGAATCCAGGCTTGGGTCTGGACAGAAGCCATTGCTGGGTCAGAGGGCTCCAGGCATGTCTCGGCCGAGCCGGAGCCTTAGTGGAGTTCTTGAGCCCCCATGCTTGTTAGGGCCCCTTGGTGTTCCCGCATTCATCACTTTGGGCCTCGACGCGTTATAATTGCCAGCCTGAGTCTTGTGCCTCTGTGTGTCCCCAGTGCCCAGACAGGGCCTGGATGCCCAAAGATAGAGCGCATCTCCTCGCTCAGAGTCAGGGGAAGGCAAGGGGTGGAGGGAGCTCTTGGTGGGGGAACCCTCATCCACCCAAGCTCTGGTCTCCATTGGCAGCTGGAGCGAGACCCCTGGGAGGTTGGGGGTGGGAGGCCTGACACCAGCCGAGCACTCATCTGACTTTCATTAGGTCTGGCAGCTACTCGGGCTTTGTGTGCTGGAGGGTCCAGCCTGCGTGCTCACTGCTCACAGGGGCGGGCCGCTGCTTCTCTCCGCGCCCCCCCCGCCCTGCATCCCTGCGGAACCAGGGGAGAGGCGAATCTGAGCCCTGAACCTGCTCAGGGGTCTGCCTCATCTCCCCTCTCCCTCTCTTCCCCACCTTTCCCCCCTCCCCACTGCTCTCCCTCACTGGCCTCAGCACTGAGATCCAGGCCACGGTCCGCTGTTTAGAAATCAAAGGGGAAGCTTCTGGCTGGGGCAGGAAAACCAGGGTCCTGGCAGGAGAGGAGGCCACTGCCGGAAACCAAACACAATGACCATTTACCATGCACTGGGGGAGGGGGCGGGGAAGTCCCTGTCCCTCCTGCCAGTACACCGCCCCCGCCCCCCCATCCTGGGGCCGATTTCCTGGTCGCTGTAGCCTGCCAGAGCTGAGGCGGCCCGCCTGTAGTCCCTGTCCTGTCTGGAAACCACCAGGCAGTTTCTGTTTCCTTCCCAAGTCCCCATTTCCCTACCAGACCTCCACCCAGTCCTTCCCTCTCTGGGCTGCCAGATGTCCTTGCACATCTGGGCATCTGCTCGTCATCATGATTCTAAGCCAAGCCACTGCTGACCCAGCTCAGCGTGCATGGTTCTGTGCTTTCTGGAGGTCAGCGGGCCTATGCCCCTGCCTCCTGGCAGGCGGCTGCCTCAGCCAGGCCAGAGGAGTTCTGGAGTCTGGAGTCCCTACTGGCTGCCGACACCACCCCCTCATTCCAGTTGGCTTTGACCTACCCTCCAGAGTAGGTGCCAAATCCACTTTATAGGAGACTGGAGCTCAGAGAAGTGAAGTCCCTGATCTAAACGTACACACAGCCAAGGAGATGCAGCCAGGAGTTGAACATGGGCTGTGTTCTCTATGGGGAGCCAATTGTGTGCAAGAGCCCACAGGGATCAGAGGAGGATGGAGCAGACGGTGGAGCTGTGAGGAGGAATGGAACCAGGCCCAGGCAGCCCAGAAGCCTCCTCTGTCAATGGAGGGTAGGGATGCCTACAGACCAGAGGGAAGGAGAAAGTGCTTTGGGCCAAAAGACACTGGGGAGAGCTTCAAGGAAGAAACAAGCCCCCAGCTGGACCCTAAAGGTTTTAAATACTAACTGATACGAACCAGCATTTTGTGGGAGGCCCTGTGCTAAGTAGTTTGCATGCGTTTTATGTCTTTTTGTGGTCAGCTTTATCCGTCATCCATTTAGCAGATGAACCAACCAAGGCACTAGAGGGTAATTCGATTGCACAAACTCACCGAGCTGGTGAGTGGCAGAGGCGGGATTCCGACCCAGGCAGTATGCCCGCAAGCCCTGAGCGCAGCGTGTGGGTGGAATGAACCTAGGAAGGCTTCTCTGATCTTCAGGAGGAGATATGCAGGGGAGCGTCTCCCTCCAGCCTCCCCACCTCCTTCCTCCGTTGTCTGGTCTCTTGATCACACTGTGTGCAGGTCTTCGGCTTAACCTCCAGGGCTTGTTAGCCTTAGGCCAAGAGGCATGGCTCAGAGATAGGTGCGTGTGTCTGCGTCTATGTACTGTAACCTTCAAGGAGGACTTCCTGGCTGACTCTGTAGCTGTGGAGCCTGTCAAGTTCAAGAGGGGACTGACTGCCACCGGCCGAACCTCCACGGACCCTTGGGTTCCCCTCTTGCTTGACTCCCCGGGGCCCCAGGAGAAGAGGAGAGAGGAGGCCAGGCTGGCTGGCACGGGGTCCTGGGCGCTTCTGGGTTGGGCACGCTGGGGCTGTTGCCCAGGAGGCTCAGGGATGGCCCTGAAGCAGAAGTGTGTGGTAAGGGTCAGCCCTGGGAGATGTTAGACTGCTGACGCCCAGGGACGAGGCCTGATCCACAGCCTGGAAGTTGGCTGTCTCCAGACCCCGTCTTCACTGCTGGCGAGAAGGCTGGAGTAGGCTTAGCTCTGGCCGGCGGCAGCCTCCGAACCAGCCGGTGGGCGTGGCTTCAGGAGGCAGCACCCAGGCAGTGGAGGACTGGCGGCCTGGACAGCCCCCGCAGCGTGGCACCGGGCTATGTCCACTAGGTCTCAGGCTCCGACATCCAGCCTCCCAGGCCCAGAAACGTGGTGTTCCTAGACACACAGTTTCAGAGAAGGGACTTACCCCTATCCAGTTCTGAGGAGGTGGGCGTTGAACCTGCAGCCCAGTGCAGGAGAAGCAGAACTTTGAGCACCCCTTGCCTCCATCCCCTGGCCAGCCCAGCACCCAGCATTAGGGCCTGCCCTGGGGGACCTCTTGGGAGTGAGTGTTTCCTCGACGTTTTCCTCTGCTCCCCAAGGAATCCTCGGATGTTTAAACAGCTGGCCCTGAAGTCATGCCTTAGAGGCATAATCTTGTCCTTTTGAACTGAGGGGCAGAACTGTTCATGCGGGTCAAGAACTTGGGCTCTGGAGGGAAGAGAGCCCCGCTGGAACGCCAGCTCAGCTGCTTGTAACCCTATACCTGCTCTTGTGCTTAGGCCTCAGTTTCCTTATCTGTAAAATGGACTTGATGCTGAGTCCTCTGCTTAGGGTTCTGGTGAGGATTGAAAGACAGGCAGCTGGACAAGCAGTCCCCACAGGGCCTGGCATGGTGTCCGAGCCACACAGGCGGTGGCTGCCACCATTGTGTTTTCTGACAAGGTGCCAGAGAAATGCCCATGCCCGGGGCTCCAAGAGGACATTGCCGGCCCAGTCAGCCAGGTGTTTCCCAAGCCTGGTTCCTATAGCCAGCTTTGGGCCTATGGGTGCCTTGCCATCCCATGACAGGAGCCCTGACCAACCCCCGGTCTGTGGAGAGGTGTGGGTGTGAAGGAGCTGGGACCTGCCGCTGGGCCACCGGAGGAAGCGCATCCTGTCTCTGGTTCCTCGCTCGCATCTGTGTGATCAGGGGCTGGACTCTGCTTTGAGGCTGTGACTGTGGCTGTGACCAGTGGAGCTAGGCCTCAGTGTGTTTCCATGGGACATGAGAGTCACAGGCGAGGGTTCAAATCCCTGCCCCAGCTGCCTCTTCCTGGCTCCTGACTGGGATGAGCTCCCCACTCAGCTTTCCTCACCCATCAAGTGAGTTGTGGGGAGGGTTAAACGTGAGGAGTGTGCGAGGGCCTGGCATCCAGGGAGTGCCCACCTGTGCTGGATGCTGTGGCCGGCAGGGTTGCTTTTGGGGCTGGACTTTCAGCCAGCCCTGCCTACACCCCCTTGGGCCAGGCCACCCTCCTCAGCTGTCACTGGCCACGCCCCCTTGCCGGCCTGGCTCCTGCAGGCCTGACAGTCAGGACCCAGTCCTGGATGGGCAGGAGGACGAGGCGGGCGAGGCCACTGCGAGGGCTGGTCTCCCATCCCCACCTGAGGCACTTTTCTCTTCTAAATACTGATGAGTAGCTGGGCTCGGGCTGGCCAGGCAGGATCTTGGGGAGATGGGTTAGCCTCTGCAGGGACTCAGCACAGGCTAGTCCCCAGACTCCAGTTTCTAGGGTCACTGAGCTCCCTGGTTGCTCTGCCAGCCAGGCACCTTGTGTGGTCCCCTGCCCAGGCCTCCTCTGGGCAGCGGTGCCTGGGGACCTGGAATGTGGCCCACCCCCATCCAGGGCTGACCTTGAGTCCTCACCAGGGTCCTCTGCATGCCCTTGGGCCCAGGGTGGAGGACCCCCACCGGAGGGTGGGGGCAGGCCCGAGGTGGGGCCCTGTCCATACTGGGAGGGTCACACACATTTGGCCTTTTTGTTCTCCTGCCTTGTTGGGCATACTACAGCCTAAGAGATGAACCAGGAGTTGGACTTGAGGAGTCCTGGGTTCTCTCCTCCCTCTGGACACTCTATCCTTTGCCTTTTTAATGGAAGTATATTTGATTTATAATGTCGTGTTAGTTTCTGGTGTACAGCATAGGGGTTCAGTTATCTGTAAGTGCATATGCATATGTGCATTCTTTTTCTTTATAGTTTATTACAAGATATTAAATGTAGTTCCCCGTGCTATACAGTAGGACCTTGTTTATCTATATTATATGCAGTGGTTTGTATCTGCTAATCCCAAGCTCCTAATTTATCCCTCCCTCCCCTTTCCCCTGTGGTAACCATGAGTTTGTTTTCTATGTCTGTGAGTCTGTTTCTGTTTTGTGAATAAGTGCCTTCTTCCTAGATTCTGCGTGGAAGGGATATCATATGATATTTGTCTTTTTCTGGCTTACTTCAATTAGTATGATCATCTCTAGGTCCATCCGTGTTGCTGCAAATGACATTATTTCATTCATTTTTTTATGGCTGAATAATAATCCATTGTGTGTGTGTGTGTGTGTGTGTGTGTGTGTGTGTGTACACATGACGTATTCTTTATCCAGTCATCTGTCGATGGACGTTTATGTTGCTTCCATGTCTTGGCTGTTGTAAATTGGACACTGTCTCCTTGACCATCTCCCCTGGGCCTTGGTCTCCACCTCTGTAAAATGGGTACACGACTTTGTATTCACACTGTCCTCGAGCCTGGGATTTGGAGAGGCTGAGCAGCTCTCTCTGCTCCCTGATCCCTCTGGTGTATTGGCTCCAAGGTCAGGAAGCTGCAGGCCTGGCTCTCCCCTCTCCGCAGAGATTTAGGATAACCTGCTCTCCCTTGAACATGGCCCTCCTCCAGGTTCCCAGAGCCTCTGGCAGGTTTCCTGGGAGGTTTTCCCCTGCCCAGTGTCAACCATCAGCTCCCCAACAACAGTGTCCTCGGGTCTCGTTCCTGGGCTCTTGGTGCCCCCTCTCGTGACCCTCGCTGTCGCCCTGTTAGAGCTGTGGGTCTTCCTTCATCTCCCAGGCAGGCTCACTGAGGCCGAGGGCTGTGGGGCTCCATGGAGCCAGGACTCTCCATGAAAGACAGTACCCTGGGGTCTGGTGGGCCCTGGAGGGGGTTCTCATATGCCCATTGCTGCAGGGTGCTGGCAGCTGGCTGGGTGAAAGCCTCGGGTGACCTTCATGACTCCATGGATTTGGGCAGCAGCTCAGCAGGGTGCCACGAGGCCCCAGAGCAGTGACCTTGTGCACGTGGAGGCCCTGCGATTGGAGCCACCACTGCTCCACTCCCCCACCCCCGGCCCACCTGAGTGAGCCCAGCTTTCTCCACGCGCAGCCCAGGGAAGAGACTATGGTCTGGGCTCTAGTCCTCCTCCATCTGCCGCAGGCCTTGGCCAGGTCTCCTTAGGAGGAACCGGTCTGCAGCTGAGGACATCTGTGGGCCTAGAGGCCCCACGTGGCCCCTGGTTGTAGCTTCCACAGGAAGTGGACAGCTGAACGGGTGTGGAGGGGTCATCAGATGGGAGGAGGTGCCACCTCCGGGTGTGCAGTCACGAGCCTCCCTCTGGGGGAGGTGGCAGGACTGGGGAACGGCTCGGCAGGTCCCCTGGGGTCTATCCCAAAATACGGATGGGATCGGCCCCTGGAGACCCCGTTATCTACCTTGAGGAAATTGGGGCTTGGCTGCAGGCAGCGGGGGACACGGCATCCTGCAGACCCGTCACCTTGAGAAGGCCGATCAGGTGACACACTAGCAGCTGCCACCCAGGCCGTCTTCCTGTCCCTGGGGCTACAGGGCGCCCCCAGGAACAGCGGGTGCCGGACACCCTGGTGCCTGTTCCACCAGCCTCTGCTCCCCTGGAGGCCCCGCACCACCCTCCCTCCTCAACAATCAAGTGCAGGAAGGCCAGACAGGGTGTGCGAGGCCCAGCTGCCAACGGGCTTGCAGTGCCCCGGGGACTTCATTGAGTACCTGCTTGGAGTGGGACTGGAGGATCTGTCCCCTGAGGACACAGCTGCCCACGTGGCATTCTTTTCCCCTACAGTTCGGTGCTGCCCTGTGGACGCCTCCCCTTGGGGCATCTGCTGTTTGCTCAGCTGCTCCCTCCCCCAGGAGCCCCCAGACCCTGCCAGAGCATCCTCGGGAGCACTTGGCACTGTCCTTTTAGGCTGCCTGTCCCTGGGCCTGTGCGCTGTCTGCTCTGCTAACAGGATGGGTTACCAGGGGCAGATGCCAAACCAAGGCTGTCGGCTGCTTCCTCTCTGTCCCTGGAGCAGAGAGCAGATGTCCCACTCTGCCACTTTGTGCCCAGGACCCAGGCAGCTCTCTTTAGAGCCCCCTGCTCTGGTGTCTCTGGGTGGACGGTTTAAGCAGTGCCTGCTCTCAGCACTGCTCTAAGGGTCTGATTTGTTCCTGCTGCTGTTGCTTCTGCAAAGGGACCGGAGAGGACAGGGTTAGCGCCGCGCCAGCGGGAGCAGCTCCCCATCTGTGCAACAGGGCGGTGACGCCCCCTGGCCCAGCATGTGTGGCACTCAGCGTCCTTCCCGGCCCCCCACCCGGCTGGCAGAAAGGGGCCCCTCGGGGAGGTGGAAGGGCTCGGGGATCACATGACACTGAGACAGGGCTGACCAGCTGCTCTGCCGCCAGTGGGGCCAGTGGCTCACTGCAGCACCGTTGTTTAGACCTGCTCAGGGGCGGCAAGTCCTCCCCTGGGTTGGCCTGGCCAGGGGGCCCTTCCATCCAGCAGGCCTTGATGGTGCCGCGCTGGGAGCCAGGTGCTGTGGGGGCTCCCATGGGGTTCAAGTCCGGTGCCCTCTGGCAGGCAGGTCCAGCACAGGGCCTCCAAGCTGCTGCCAGCGACTTGGGCGCTTGGGAAACTGTCTGGCTCCCAGCTAGACCAGATGTGGCTGGAATCCTCAGGAGAGGGACAGGCCCTTTTAGGTGGGCCAGCAGCCTCTGCAGGGGGCAGCTTGGACCCCTGAGGAGATGCAGGGATGGACAGGGCCCTGGTCTGGCAGGTGGACAGCACCCCAGCGTCACTGTGGCCTCTTCTAGGTGGGGGAGGGCTGTGTGAGGCGGGGGGGAAGCCAGCATCTGTTTCAGTTTTTCTGCTTCGGGAGAAGGAATTTCCCCTCCTTGACGGAAGGGCTGGACCTCCCCAGGCGTGGGCTGCTGGGGTTTGTGGCCTAGGAGGTGGCACTCAGTCGGGGGAACCTCTGCCTGCGGGTTCCCTGCTAACTTCCAAGAAACGCCTGGCTTTCTCTCCAGAGGCAGAGAAGGGTCAGGAGGCCCGGTGTGATTGCACTGGCTTTCCCGTTGGTATGATGCCCAGAGTGGGAGGGCAGCCCCAGGTCAGAGGAAGTGGCTTTCCGGAGGATGGCTCCCAGGCCTCCCAGAGCCTTTGAGGCAGGAGGTAAGAGGCCCAGGCTCCCAGCCCCTGCCCAGGTGGGCTGATGTCTGAGGGTACAGCTCACAGGAAGCTGGGCACTTGGTTCCTGCCCAGAGGCCCAGCTCAGGCCAGAGGCTTTAGGGAAGGGCTGCGGCGAGGCCCAGGCTGAATCGGCACTTTCACTGGGCCTTCTCTGAGCTCCACGCCCACCCTGAGTTGGGGCAGTGACCCGTGCTCCCAGCTACTGGCACTGACCGTGTGATTCATGGCCTGGTGCCAGCTCGTGCCTCCCACCTCCTCCCTAAACTCTCAGAGGCCTGTGTCTTTGCTCCTAGTCTCCCCTCCTCACTGCAGGCTCGCCCCTTCCCTGAACAGGGGCAGGTGGGGGACAAGTGGCCTTGGCCAGGCCTTGATGCCCCCTCCAGGCCAGCCTGCCTAGCGGGAGGGATGGCTGCCTTTTAAAACAAGAGCCTTTCTCCCCGGGGTCCAGGGAGCAGCCAGATGACCCCCCTTCCTGGCCCAGCCTGAGTCCTGTGGTTTTGGGTTTCTGTGGAACCCCATCGTCAGCCCAGGTGCCAGCACTGTTGTCTTTCTCATGCTGTGCTGTCCCCACGCACGTGATGACGAACAGGGAACTGGGAACTCCTCTGTTGCCCAAGAAGGCACAAGAGCATGAATGAGCAGAGAGGGAAGGAAGTGGCCTGGGCTGTGGCCTTCGAGGATGCTCGCAACTGCCCAAGACCTGTGAGGCTGACTCCAGGGTCTGGGCAGCTGTGGGGGGGTTGGCTGGGCGGATGAGGTGAGGGGGCCGCAGGCCGCAGGCCTCAGGCCCTGGAGGAGCCTCAGGGTCCCGGGTCTGCTCTTCACCTGCAGCCGCACGGCTTTGGACAGCTGCCCTTTCCTCGGCCTCCGCGTACTCATCTGTGAAACGACCACTTAACAGTACTCATCATGGGGCAGGGGTGGGGGCGCCCGGGCAGGAGCAGGCTGTTGTGGGGTCAGAACCCTGGTGGGCGCGTCTTGTTCCCGCCCACCTCGTGGCTGGTGGGGAGAGGAGGGGAGTGGTGGGGTCAGTGCCCGCCTGCCCCAATGCTAATCCACAGCTGTCCAGCTGTGGTCCATTGCATTCTGGACCGGTGGTCTCTGTGGCCATCCATCTTTGCCTCCTCTGGACAACAGAAGGAGGCCCGGGGACCCCCTGCAGTCCAGGCGGGCCGGCTCTGACGCCCGCCCCGCCCGGCGGCCGGGCGCTGTCTTTGCAGAGCCCCACGCAGGAGATTGGCGAGGAGCTGGTCGGCGGGGTCATCTACTCTGTCTCCCTGCGCAAGGTGCAGGCGCACCACGGCGCCAGCAAGGGCCAGCGCCGGCTCGGGGTGAGTGCGGCGTGGGGCCTCCACCCCCAGGGCCCCCGAGAGGGCCTGTGACCCAGGGGCCGCCCTGGCCACCCTAGTGGGCTCCCTCCCAGGGCTTTCTGCCCGCGGGGCCCCAGTTCTGCTCCCAGAGAAATCTGGGCCCCCAGCCCTCCCCTACCGTCCTACCCTGGGCTGGGCCAAGTGCACAGTCACTCTTCACATATATGTGTGAACATCAAAAAAAGACATTTTCGTACTATTTTCACTTCATGTCAGGCTAGGGTCATTTGTGCCTTTTTTGCCCCTGTACTTCTTGTTTTAACGACTGCCCCCAGCTGTCCCTGGTACCCGTCAGCCTAAATGTCCTTGCACACCTCCTCCAAGCCTTGCATCACATACTTAATAGGGTTTTTTTTTTTAACCCAGAAAGGGCTCATTCTACTATATACAGTTCTCTGCAACTTGCTCTCTTGGAGTGCAGCCCTGTGACCCCTCCAGGTCAGAACGGGAGCCTGACGTGAATGTTCGGGAGGGAGGCTGGTTGCCACCGTGACTGAGCCTTTCACTGCACTGGCCCTTGATGTGACTCCTTTCCGTGGCCATTTCCACAGTGCTGCCCTGCACAGCCTGTGTGTCCTAATACACTGCTCCCTCCTGCCCCAGGATAAGCCTCGGTTTTCTCGTCTCTAAAATGGGGCTGCTTTGCCAGGGCTTGGCAGGGGTAAATACTCTTAACACAGCGAGGTGCTGTCATTACTCAGCTAATAAGACAACCTGAAGGTGTGAGTATTTGTCATCACCCCCACCTCCAATTCTGCTTTGAAAGCTGAGAACCTTTTCCTGTTGGGGGCACTCATGTCCCAGCTCTGGTCGGCAGTCACTGAGCACTGGGGAGGTCCTCTGAGCCCCAGCCCCCTGCCCTCCCAGTGGGCCATGGCGCCACCACTGACTATCCATTTTTCTTTGTCCCACCCTAGTGTGAAAATGAGTCGGCCCTGAACCTGTATGAGACGTGCAAGGTGCGGACCGTGAAGGCGGGCACGCTGGAGAAGCTGGTGGAACACCTGGTGCCTGCCTTCCAGGGCAGCGACCTCTCCTATGTCACCATCTTCCTGTGCACCTACCGAGCCTTCACCACCACGCAGCAAGTCCTGGACCTGCTCTTCAAAAGGTGAGCCCCT